AGACTATTGAGCTCTACCCAAGAACAGGAATGATGGGCCGAACGGCGTTTCTCTGTGATTGCAGGCTGCTGTTGGAAAAGCTGGACTAGCCTTGGCTGTGTCCCACTGTCTCTGAAAGTTAAATTTTATAATTCCACACTTCCCACGGGGAGCCGTAGCTCCCTGAGTCCGGGATGTAAATGTGTCCGTGTATATTCTCCTGCTCACAGAGTAATAGACCCCCACCCACTGGGACTTTGTGAACCAAGAGAACGGTATCAAAATTATCCCCAAATGAATGGTGAGGGGCACTGGGGCCTGAACTCCAAAGATCAAGTTGATTGTATCTTTATTTATTTTGTTTTCACCAATAATAATCATTTTGTAAACACATTTATAGTCGCAGAGATGCACAGCACGGAAACAGACCCCTCGGTCCAACTTGTCCATGCCGACCAGAAATCCTAAATTAATCTAGCCCCATTTGGAAGCATTTGGCCCATATCCCTCTAAACCCTTCCTATTCATATAGCCATCCAGATGCCTTTTAAATGTTGTAATTGTACCAGCCTCCACCACTTCCTCTGGCAGCTCATTCCATACCCGCACCACCCTCTGCGTAAAAAAGTTGTCCCTTAAATCCCTTTTAAATCTTTCCCCTCACACCTTAAACCTATGCCCCTCTAGTTTTGGACTCCCCTATCCTGGGGAAAATACCTTGTCTATTCACCCTATCCATGCCCCCCAGCATCCTACGCTCCGGGGAAAATATTCAGCCTCTCCCTGTAGCTCAAACCCTCCAACCCTGGGCAACATCCTTGTAAATCTTTTCTGAATCCTTTCAAGTTTACGAGGCACAATTTCACGAGGTTATAGAGGAATAAAACGTGAAAGTGCGAGCGGAAAGAGAGAGTGAGACGGGAACTATATAAGAACATTTCTGAGCTTATCATAGATTTGAAATTCAGAATCCTGAACTGAGGAATTCGTCATTTAGCTGTTTATTTAGATCGTTCCCTCCTCTCTCACGTCTGGAAACACACTGAAACACTCAGCTACCTTGCAAATTGCCAGTCTGTCTGTGTGTGGAATGTTTAGAATGGGTTTGCTTATCAGTCGGCTCCCAACTTCAAAATAAATCGAGAAATGGAACGGGGGAATAAAGGGGAGAGATAGAGAAGAGAAGGAGCGATGGGAGGGAAAGGGGGAACCGGGAGCCGCAGAGAGAACGAGAGGGAAAACAGAGCGAACAAAATGTGGGGAACGAACAAGGCTCGAAAGTAAAATAAATGCGGCCGGAAAGACGTGAGAAGGAGGTTAAAGAAAGGGAAAGAGGGATGAATTGTAAAGGGAGGAAACGAAAGAGGAGAGAGATGAAAAGGGAGAAAGCGTACGATTGTAATTTTATGGAAAGGAAAGAAAGGATTGTTTGTTGCATATTGTGCTGGAGATTGAAACCTGGTGTTTAGAGCCGGAGAGGCCCCCGATAATGATCAGAAACTAATCTCAAGCGGCAAGAAGAACTGTAAAACAAAACTGAGACAATAAACTGGAAGATGATTTGGGATTTTTTTATATGTACAAATTGGGACAGACATTAAGATTGTGGAGTGTGGAGACGCGTAAATATGTCCCTGTGTGTCTGTATATGTAACCCAGTGCCTGTTCATTTATCTGTCCATATTTCTGTACATGTATAGTATTGTAATTGTATAAATGCATATGTCTTTATGAATGTATATATAGTTCTGTGTTTGTGTAAATTTATATGTCGATATTTCTGCGAGTATATAGTTCTGTATATGTGTGAATGTAAATGTCTGCTTTTTGGGTATATATAGCCCCGTGTTTGTGTAAATGTATTTTTCTATATTTACGTGTGTGTATAGTTCTGTATTTGTAAATGCATACGCATATATTTGTGTATATATACAGTTCTGTATTTGTGTAAATGTATATGTTTATATTTGTGTGTGAATATAGTTCCGTATTTTTCTAAATGTACGTATCTTTTTTTTGTGTCTATATGGCTCTGTATTTGCGCAAATGTATATGTCTACATTTCTGTGTATATATGGTTCTGTATTTGATGTAAATGCATGTGTCTATATTTGTGTATGTACATAGTACTGTATTGTGTAAATATTTATATTGGTTAAAAAGAAACAAAACAAAACCTCAAATGCTGGAAATCAGAAACAAAACAATTCTGCCAAACACGCTGAGTTTTTCCAGCAATGTGTGATCCTGTTTTTATGTTGGTGTATGTGTATATATAGTCCTGTGTCACTGTGTGAAATATACTCCCGTGTAATTGTGTGGAGAGACCTGTGAGGTTTATGAAGATTAATGTATTTATACCGATATATTTCTGTATATTTGTCACCGCATTTCTGTGTTTTTTACACACGTTTTCCTGTCTATATCGATTTATGTGCCCGTCTTACGGTTTGTGTATATTTTTGTCTCTATTATTGGTGTGTACTAGTTTCCAGGGTTATTTCACTGTGTGTGCGTGTACAGTGTATGTTTGCGAGGATTTGTAACGCCGGAGTTTTGTTCGTTTTTATTTCAGTCTTGAGACAGTTTGGTCAACACATTGAAACGAGGGTTACACTAAGACTGAATGAAACTACAGTCAGGGTGGCCACATAGTCATCAAGAGCAGACTTCAGCCCCTTGCTCCTTAAACAATTCTTGTAATGATCAATAACGTGATTTAGCCAGTATTCAACCCCTACTCTCTCACTGCTTGGTACATATTGTAGGGAAAAAAAATTCACCCACCGCGGTCCTTGCAAAGAGAGAACGGGTTCTGGAGTGTAGTTTGTAGGAGCGGTGAGATGGGGTAGGGTCGGAGGGGATCTGGGCTGGGGTGAAGGCCAGGGGCTGGATACAATTTTACAGTGGCCATTATCCGCCCCTGTAGAAGCTGGGAGCCCGGCCGGTGTCTGCAATTAGATTCTCACACACAGCCGTCCCGGACCCAGCGCCCAGGGAATGTTATGCCTCAAATTAAAAAAAAAATCACCCCCCCCCCCCCCCCCCCCCCCTATCAGCTGAAGGCGGGATTATTAACCCCCTCGTGGCCGGGCTCCCATTGCCACCCACCCAGCCCCCCAACCTCCCGGTCAAAGTGCAATTCAGAGAGACTGCGAGTTTCCTAAAGTCTCCGAGTTCCTAAACCTCTATCCATGTCTCAGTGAGACCACACAGTGTACACACACACACATTGTATGTATGCAGGCTTATCATGTGTACATGTACATGTGTTTATTCACGTTCCTACACAAATTATATACATTCTTATGAATGTATGTGCAATGATACTGTAAGTATTCTTGTTCATGTACTGACACATACACTATATTTTTAAAAAAAGACCCGTGGATGCTGGAACTACACTAGCAAGCACATCCACTAAATACACTTGTTAGCACATTGAAATATATACCTTATGTTCTTATCATTGGATCTACACGTAATTAATTCATTCTGGTCAAAGCTTGCCTATGTACTTTATATATTCTTAGTAATGTATCGACACAGATGTTGCACATGTTCTAGTTTCTTTTACACATATACCTCATTTGTTCCTATTAATTTATAGTATATATTCGTGTTAATATCAAAACTTTTCGTTATGCATGCTTTTTAATATATGTAGACACACATTATATATTATCATTAATGCAGTTACACAAGTATTGCATATATTCGTGTTAACGTGTCAGAACATGTACCATATATTCTTATAATTATATCTGCACACATATTTATGCATCCTTATTCATGTATTTTGATATACATTGTTTGTATTCCTGTCAATGTATCTGTACATTCACTTTATATTTTTACCATTGTATTTACGCAAATACTTTGTATCTTATTAATGTACTTACACACATATCGCTAATGTTCTTGTTAATATATTTATGCATACCATGTACATACTCTTGTTAAAGTATTAACATATATACTCGATATATTTTAATTCATGTACTTACATACATACCGTATATATTCTTGATCTTTTTACAGACACATAGAATACATTCTTATTGCTGTATCTAGACAGAAACCACAAACAAATTTATTCAATTCCAATCTCATCCCAGTGTTTTTGTACAGATGCAGGACACTGACTGAGCTTCTCGTTGTTTCAAACAGCAATTATTTCACGTTACCCTTTCTCTCTCTCTTTCCATGTTTCAATGCAAGGAGATGGGGGTTAGTGGGGCATTCACCCCCGTGTTCGCTAAAGCTCAAGTTAAACTGACTCTTTGTTTTTACCAATGAACGAGCAGACAGGAAATTACGTGGCCTTGGCAGAGAATTTAAAGAAGCACCCCCCCCCCCCCCCCCCCCCGCCACACCACATCTTCTAACTACCCGCGCTCCCCTCCACCTTTCTCTGGATCTCCCTCCCCTCCTCCAGAACCCACTGCATTCCCTGAGAGATTGGGAACGGTGTGCAGGGACAGGGGTAGTGGGGGAAGTGGCTGGTCGGACTAATGCTGGGATGTACAGTGAAGATTGTGGACCCAATAGCTTTCTGCTTGGCAATGGTTTCCTGTTTCAGAAAGGACGAGGGTGCGACCAGGTGAGGGAGAGGGCCTTTTGCTGATTGAGAGGTGACCCACCCCTCACCCACCCCCTCCACCTTCCCGGACCGATCCCTGGTAACTTTGGGAAACCAAGGTGTGTGTTGCGAATGACAAGCCACTCCCGCCTTCAGCTCTAGGCTCATCTCCCCAGCTCCTAGCGGCGTGGGAGCGGGGTGAGGGGCTGGGGGATTGGCCTTCCTGCGGCCTCTTGTATCTTCACGTTGCCTCAGAGGGTCGGGGGCCACTCTCCGGGGAAGGTCCCTGGCGATGGCGAGACGGTGGAACTGATCTCGGGATGAGGTGGCTCGATTGTGATCACTCTTCCCTTTCAGGAAGGCGCGGATCCTTGTGAATCGGAGCCAGCGGCCGTTCCAGAGACCAGGACCGGAGTGAATGCTTTTACAGGCCGACACCATGAGCGATGGAGTGGGTGATCCAGGCAAGGAGGCGCCGAGGGGCGAAACCCAGGCCGGGCAGACCAGGACAGATCCCTCCGGTACATCCGCCTCGACTTCTGTGTCCCCGGGAGAAGCGAAACTGTCTCCGGGAGATCCCGATTATTGCAGGAGGATCCTAGTCCAAGGTAAGAAAAACGAAGCGAAAAATATCTCAGCGGCGAAGATCTCAATCTTTGCGTTTTAACAAAACAAAATCCCAACAAAAAAAAACTTATAGAGAAACGAAAATAATAAACTGAGGAAATAAAAGAACGAGGCGATAAAGAAATGGAATACAGGAGTCTGAAGCTCGGAAATAATAGCATTTCAAATTTAAAAAGTAGAATTTAAAGCTGTGTGTATTTTTCTTAAAGTCTAAGTGTTTTCACGGCGCGGATATGATAAATATGGGGAAGGTTGATTTCAACATTGAATTAAAACGCTTGTGTTTCAGTGCCCAAATCCGGCAGATTTTATCGGAATTCTGCCACCCCTTCCCCGTGTCAAAAATAACCAGAGAGAGGGGCAGAAATATCCCGGAGCACTGACACACTTCCCTCTCCTCATTCCGATTCAAAACTGAGCTGAATCGATGTTTAAAAAGACCTTTTCTTTTTTTCAAAACTAAAGGTCATTAGGATCGAACCAACCCCTTCTCCCACAAACTGCAGTTTAGTTTCAATTGGTCTCCTCGAATTTAAATCTGTTTCCACCTTCCCGCTCTCTGCGGTCAAGAGACCTGAGGAAAGTCCCAATAGTTTGGAGACTGGGATTCACAGCAGCTCCTGATTCCACACAATTCAGTCTTTTATTTAACCCTTCCCAATGTGGCTTTGGATTTCTGCTCGTTTTGTCTTGACCGTCTGCAGTTGTTTTTTTTTGATATAATATGTTAGAGACAGGATTCTGAAGAAGGGTCTAGGCCCGAAACGTCAGCTTTCCTGCTCCTCTGATGCTGCTTGGCCTGCTGTGTTCATCCAGTTCTACACATTGTTATCTCAGATTCTCCAGCATCTGCAGTTCCTTATACAGAAAGTCCTTGTTCTTTTACCGTGACTGTGAAGTTTGGAATGATGCTGACACTGCTGTAGAGGTGGTTAATGTTTAGATGAGGTGTGGATTTTCTAGCAGAGAGCAGTCCCACTTTCGTTCAAACATAATTTAACAGACCACACTATTGTTAAAAAAAATCAATTTAATGTCCGTTTGCAATCGGCGGTGGGCACATATATTCAGTTAAACTTTGGCTGGAAATAAACTTCTGTCCAAGGGCTTTCAGATACAGGCCGTTAGAGGGAATGTGTGTGTATTGTATTTAAAGATTGAGGATTTATCGCAATAGTTTCTCCTTTCTTTTAAAAAAAAAACAAATGTTCACAATGCGGCACATAAACAATTAATTCCCGAGATTCGCAGCTAATCGAAACATCCACTGCGTATGTTCCATGAGAGGAAAATATCACAGAATGCGTGCATTGAAGGTGTTGTGGTGAGGGAGCTAATGGGACTCTGGAATGTGAGTTTTTAATGGGGACACTTCCACAATCGCTATTGTCTTTGTTACAGACCGTTTCCTCTATCTCTCCCTTTCTCTGTCTCACTTTGTCTCCGCCTCTCTTTCTGTGTTTGTCTCACTCTATCCCTCTCTCTGTCTCTGCCTCTCTTGTCCCTGTTTCTCCGTCTTTCTGTCTGTGACGGTCTCTGTGTTTGTGTCTATCTATTTCTCCGTCTCTGTGTGCGTCTCCCTGTCTATCTCTGTGTCTGTCTCCTTTGCCCCATTGTTTCCTTTTCTCTGTCTCTCTCTGTCTTTCTCTATCTCTCTCTGCCTGTCTCAGTCTCTGCGTCTCTCTTTCTGTACTTTGTACTGTGTACCTTTTCTCTGCGTCTCCTCTTTGTATCTTCGTTTCCCTGTTTTTCAACACTTACACTCATCCCGATACTTTCACATGTATTATCCCGTCTCTTTAAAATCCCACGCCTGTGTGTGGAATTAATCCCCACTCTAGTCTAAACCCTTGCTGGAAATATTGGACGGACGGCGCGATTTCCTCACATTCTCCAATTTTAGTTTGTTTTTTTAAAAATTTCTTTCTTGACACTGGTTCTGGCCGGGTCGAAATGTTGTTTTAATTCAAATACACTTCAGACAATATTGTGCCCACGTACAGTTCTTAGTTACGATCCATAACGCGCAATTCGAACCGATAAAAAGATTTTTAAACTAAAAAGATGCTTTGATTTAATTCTATCCAATACATTGTAGGCAAACTCCCCGCAATTTCTCATATATATGTATAAATAATGTTAAACTTGATAACGAACGATACAAGTGAGATTAGCCTGTGTTCACTCGTCTCTCTGAAATTAACAAAATCCGGATTATCACGGGGAGATGTGACTGTTGTATCCGATGGGGACCTCACATAAACACCTCACAAGGAGTTCCTTAGGAAGGATATATTGGATTTGGTGGGACTACAATGTAGACTGGGACCTGGACTTCAGCGGTTTCGAGGAGAGATTAGACAAATTGGGCCTGTTTTCTCTCGAATTTAGAAGTTTAAGGGATGATCTAATCGACGTTTCCAGTGTATTAATAGGAGAAGACAGGGTAGATGAAGATAAACTGTTTCCACTGGGTGGGGATTCTAGAACCTGGGGCACAATCTGAGAATGAGGACCAGACCTTTCAAAAGAGATGTTAGGAAGCATTGCCCCACACAAAGGGTGGGAGAGGTTTGGAACTCTTTTCTACAAACGGCAGTGGATACTGGATCATTTGTTAATTTTAAATCTGAGATTTTAGAACAGTACAGCACAATACAGGCCCTTCGGCCCACGATGAATTTTGTTTTTGCTAAACAAGGGTATTGAGGGATATGGGCCAAAGGCAGGCAAGTGGATTTAGGCCACAGATCAGCCATGATCTCATTGAGTAGTGGGACAGTGTTAAGGGGCTGAATGGCCTGTTCCTGTTCCTAGGACTCACTGAGTGACCCTGGATGGTTTCCTGCGATTGGTTTAAATGAACTGTGTGTGGGACCCTGGGATCCGGAACCCCTCTATTTCCCACATTGTGGCTTCGCCCTTCCTTATCTGCGCGGACATTGCAGGCTGGGCACGGGGAAAAGGACTGGGCATTTATTGCAGCGAGAGGAATTCCCCCAACCCCAGAGAAAGGAAGAAGGCGGGGGAAGGGGGGGGGGGGTCTCCTGTGACAGTGCCAATAGGATGGCTTGCACACCTCTGCCCTTGTACAATCAGAGAAACCCAGGCAGAGAAGGGAACATGGTTATTGAGAGACACAGGCCGCCCCAGTGTTACATAGACCCCCACCGCCTTCCTACACACACACACACACACACTCCCTGTACAATCCCAGGCCTATCGAAGTCTAGCGGCTAGAGAGAGGTCAAACACAGGTCGGTAAGTCCCTGTTGATCCGTGGTTAAGGTGGAGAGCAGCTCTCTAAGACCGGTGACAGGCTGCTTTAGATATTTATAGCCTACAGATCGTTTAAATGAAACAATCTGCCGTTTCTCTTTTTCCCCTCCCTCTCACCCCGCCCCCAGACCCGGGGGGAGGGGATGTCTCAAATTTCAGATCCATCTCCCCAAATTAATGTTGTTTTTTTTAAATAAACGCAATTTCTCACCATGGCCAATAAAAATCCGAAAGAACTGCGGATGCTGTAAATCAGGAACAAAAACAGAAGTTGCTGGAAAAGCTCAGCGGGTCTGGCAGCATCTGTGAAGGAGAAAACAGAGTTAATGTTTCGGGTCCGGTGACCCTTCCTCAGAACTGATCAGTTTCTTTTTGAACTTTGGGGTTTTTGAAGCTCTGATATGGCAGATATGTGGTTTGAAAATTTAATTCTCACCTTGTGAAACATGGCTAGCCTAAGAGTGACCATTTAAATAACTATGCAAAAATTAGTATATTTCCTACGATTTTTCTGTAATGTTAAACATATAATGGTAAACAGAATGACACTGTCGTTTGTAGCGTTAAATTAGATAAATTTGCACTGAAAATATTTTCTATTATATTACATCTTCAGCAACTTATTTTCAAAAAAGCTAGTGTCACTTCATTTAAATAAATGAAATAAAAGGAAATTAAAATGTAAGCCAGTCAGCTTGAAACCATCCAAGGGTTCGCTCAGAGGTCAGGAATTCTGTGGATGGTGTTTAGAGGAGACAAGATACAGTTTCCCATTAGATAAAACAGTCTATAATCCGGATCTCGTTGGTTTCAGGCAGACAGTTGAATTTAATAAGATTCAGCCATTTTTCTCTCTCTCCCTCTCTCTGTGTCGCCTTCCCCAGCTCCAGTTCCCGCACCAGGTCAGTAACGCTAAGCGGTTCTTTAACCTGCTCTCCGTTGTCATGTTTTACACGGACGGAGCCCGAGCTGGGTGTCTAGAAATTCACAGACCACCACCCGCCCTTCCCCTCCACTCCTGCCTCCACCCCACCCACCACCCAACGGAGAAATTAAAAACCACGTTTATAATATTCGCTCAATGTTCCGGCTAAACACAAAACCAAATTATTTTGCGACAAAAACAGACATCGCAGGGGGATTGCTGGAAAAACTCAGCGGGTCTGGCAGCATCTGCGGAGAGAAATCAGAGTTAACGTTTCGGTGACCCTTTCTCAGAAGTTCCTCAGATTTACAGCATCCGCAGTCCTTTCGGTTTCGATCCATTTTGTTGTTTGCTAGCGCAGAGCCGATGGACCGAACGGTCCCTTTTATGCACCGTAATGATTCTGTGATTCTAACCATGTCACATAGGAACAGTCATCTTCATTCGGATTGAGTATAGGGGTGACCGCTCCCTGCTTTCTACAAGCTATGTGCAGTCAGTCTGAAAGGCAGGCAGAGTGTATGATCTGTACATGATACAAAACTCCTCTGTAATATTGACTCGATAGGAAAACAGACACTGTCAAATGTGCAGATATAAACACTGTCCCTACACTGGCAGCAAATGAAGGGATGATATGAGTTGTTGGTGTCTCCAAGGGACATTCCGGGATTGTTTGATAATTGCTTGATGGGGTTGCTCACTCCAGGTCTGCACCCCACCCCTCCCTCATTTTTAGCTTCTACTTGAAATTGTCTGAGTTTCTTTCACTCCGTGTCTCCTCCTCGATACTAACACACACACACACACTCACACACGCACTCTCACTCACACACACACACACAGACAGACTCACACGCGCACACACACAGACAGACACACAGAGACTCACACGCGTGTGCGCACACACACACAAGCCTGCATGCACACCACACCCTCACACGCATGCACACACACAGATGCGCGCATGCACACATGCATACACACACACAGACACGCGCGTGCACACACACACACACATGCACACCCTCACACACACACACACACAAGCCTGCACACACACACCCTCACACACACACAGTGTCTGGCCTGGCTGTCATGGGATGAGGACAGGGATCCATCACTTACTGAACAAGGTGTGGGTGCTCCATTCAATTAAACGTAGCCCCCTCTGGACTAGGCTGAGCAGTGGGTACCTGCTGGTCAGCCAGTTACTGAACCCCAGGGTCTCTCTCTATCTTTTTTTCTCTTTCTCTCTCTGTTGAGGTCTCCATCCCTCACTGTTCTATTGTGAAACTCTCTCTCTCTGGCCCACCTACCACACCTCCTCTCAGAGGATCTCCCTCTTCCCTCATATTGCACTTCCATTGTCTCTGTCTTCCCCTCCATTTTGAATTTCTTTCCCTCTTTGTATCTCTCTCACACTCCCTCCCTTTCTCTCTATCTCTCTACTTCTTTTCACATTTTGCATTTCTCTGCAAATGTCACCAATTCATTCTCTCAATCATTTCTTTGTAATCTCTCCGTCTCTATCCTTTCCGTCCTCCACTCCATTATGTTTCTCTATCCTGGCTCACCAACCCTCTCCATTTTGCCTCTTTCTGTCTCCATTCTATCTGCCTCTCTGTTCCATCTCTCTATCCTTACCTCCATTCTGATCCTGCCTCTCTATTGTACATCACTATCCCTCTCATTCTATCTCTCTATTTAATCTCTACATTCCTTATTATTTTGTCTAGCCCTCTGTCCATCTCAATTTTACTGACAGTTCTAGCTCTCTCTCTATTCTATCTTTTTATAACTGTTTCTCATATTGTGTCTCTATCTCTCCTTTTCTTTATTTTATTCACTCATGGGTTGTGGGTGTCTCTGGCTGGGCCAGCGTTTACAACCCATTCCTTTCTCATTCTGATCCTTTATTCCTCTCTCTGATTCCACCTCTCTCTTCCATTCTCCCTCTTTATTTCTCTCTCATTCCATTTTTCTCTCTCTCTCCCATTCTGCCTCTATCTCTCTGTCTCTCATTCCATCTCTTCCCCATCTCTTCTCTAGCATAAATTCAACACGGATTTGTCAGAAAGATTTGGAATTTTCTGTATTTGAGGAAGGAAATGGATTAATCTTTTTAAAACAAAACAGAAAGAAGTAAATTGTGAGGTGAAATAAGAAAGGAAGGAGTGAGAAAGAGAGAATTAACAGACAAAATTCAGGCAGATAGAATCATAGAATCATTGTAGAGATGTTTAAATATGGAGTAAAATTTTGAAATCTGATTAAAATGGAACTAGAGAAAAGCAGATTGGTGACAAGTTGGTGACACTGGGGAGGCAGTAGCCGAGTGGTATTATTGCTAGTCTGTTAATCAAGAAACTCAGCTACTTTTCTGGGGACTTGAGTTCAAATCCCATCACAGCATATGGTGAAATTTGAATTTAACAAATGTGTGCAACTAAGAATCCAATGATTACGATGATATTTTTTTCTTTATTCTTTCACGGAATGAGGGTGTCACTGGCTAGGCAGCATTTAATGCCCATCCCTAATTGCCCAGAGGGCAGTTAAGACTCCACTACATTGTTGTTGTGTCTGGAGTCACATGTAGGTAAGACCAGGTAAGGATGGCAATTTCCTTCCCTAAAGGATATTAGTGAACCAGGTGGGTTTTTCCAACAATCGACAATGGATTCATGGTCATCATTAGATTCTTAATTCCAGATATTTATTGAATTCAAATTTCACCATCTGCCATGGTAGGATTTGAACCCAGGTCTCCAGAATGTTGTCTGGGTCTCTGGATTAACAGTGCAGCAATAATACCACGAGGCCATCACCTCCCCCATTGCCAATTGCCAGAAAAGTTGGGTGACACGGTGGCTCAGTGGTTAGCACTGCTGCTTCACAGCGCCAAGGACCCGGGTTCAATTACACCCTCCGGCAACTGTCTGTGTGGAGTTTGCACATTCTCCCCGTGTCTGCGTGGGTTTCCTCCGGATGCTTCGGTTTCCTCCCACAGTCCAAAGATGTGCAGGTTAGGTGGATTGGCCATGGGAATTGCAGGGATACAGAAGGGGCTTGGATCTTTGGGATGGTCTTTGGAGGGCTGGTGTGGACTCAATGGGCTGAATGGCTGCTTCCATGCTGTAGGGATTCTATGATCTTCAACGAGAAATGAGCGAGAGATTGAAATGTTCTACATTATAGTGTTAATCCATCTCTCGCTTTGCTGGTTAGATGCTAAAGGGACCATCCGTGAGATTGTTCTGCCGAGGGGATTGGATTTGGACCGGCCGAAGCGGACACGGACCTCTTTCACAGCAGAGCAGCTTTACCGCCTGGAGATGGAATTCCAACGCTGTCAGTATGTGGTGGGCAGGGAGCGCACGGAACTGGCCAGGCAGCTCAGTCTCTCTGAGACCCAGGTACCAGGGTGGGGTGGTGTGCCTGCTCACTCTCGTACTTTCACTCAAGGAGAGCAGCAAACAGCAGCTAGTCTGCTCTCGGTACTCCCCTGATGCTGTGATTGCTCCCAGAACAAAGGGAGCAGGATCAGGATGAGGTCACTCAGGAGGCTGGAGCGTGTCTCATATCTCACCAAGATCATGGCCAGTCCTCTAGCTCAGCACCATTGTCCATGTGCTATCCCCACATTCCTTGCAGTCTCTACAATGCAGAAATCTCTGTCTTATCCAGACTCACTGACTGAGCTTACACTGGCACAGAGAATTACAGAGGCTCACAACCCCTCTGGGAGAAGAAATTCCTTTTCATCTCAGTTTTAATATTCTGCTCTTTACTCTGTTCCCTGGTTTGAGACTATCCAGCCTACACCTCCAACATGAAACATCATTTTCAGACAATTTTAGGCACAAAGCCTGCATTAAATAACCATTGACTAGAATTAACTGACATATGAAGAAAAATCAGATTGACTGGGTTTGTACTCACTGGAATTTAGAAGAATGAGGGGGTATCTCATAGAAACATATAAAATCCTGATGGGACTGGACAGGCTAGATGCAGGAAGAATGTTCCCGATGTTAGGGAAGTCCAGAACTAGGGGTCGCAGTTTAAGAATAAGAGGTAAGCCATTCAGGACTGGAATGAGGAAGAATTTCTTCACTCAGAGAATTGTGAACCTCTGGAATTCTCTTCCAAAGGAAGCTGTTGGGGCCAGTTCTTTGGTTATATTCAGGAGAGAGCTGGACATGGCCCTTGCAGCTATAGGGATCAAAGGGTATGGGAAGAGGGTGGGAATGGGATGTTGAGATTGCATGATCAGCCATGATTATATTGAAATGGGGGTGGTGGCTCACAGGGCCGAATGGCCTACTCCTGCACCTGTTTTCTATGTTTCTATGTTTTCTATGCAATGATTTCAGTCTCAGGCAACACATTTTCGGAATGACATCAGGAATGGAGAACTTCAGTTATGTGGATAGACCAGAGAAAGTGGGACTGTTCCCCTTGGAGAAGTGATGTAGAAAGGAGATTTGACCCTACGCACAAATTGTTTGCTGGGTTTAGGAAGCATTTGAGGAAGTTCAGAGGTTGTGAAAATGAAAATGTGAGTCTTTCTTCCAGTTCTAGCTGTTCACAGGCTGTTTGCCTGAGTGAGTGTAAGCTCATGCAATCCGAAATCAGCCTGTGCCTGGATTGCATATACATGCTGAATGCAATAGGTGTAGATAGGAACAGTCGTTGAATTGGAGAACAAATGTCTTATAACAGTGGATCTTAGGTACCCCTGGTGGGTCATACCTGAGAGGGTGCTGCGTTCATTAATCTACTCCAGAGGCTTGAGTACAAACCTATTGGCTGACTGTTCCAGGGCAGTGCTGAGGGAGCACTGTGCTGCCAGTAGATTCAGTTGTTTGGATTAGATGATAAACCAAGGCTTCACCTACCCTCTCAGGTGGATGTATCCGATCCCATGGCACTATTTTAAAGGAGCAGAGTGAGGGAATTATTCCCATGACCTGGCTAACATTTATCTTTCAATCACTGAAAGAAAGGCCATATCTGGAGAGTTTGCTGCAAGTACCACTGCTGTGTTTCCGACAACTCAGAAACCACTTCATTGGCTGCAAAGCACTTTGAAACATTGTGTAAGATGTTGTATAGATGTAAGTTTTCATGAATGGCTACTGAATCATAACCACTGATTAAATTACATCTTCCCTTTTTCCTTAAGTTTGATTGTAGAATCCCTACCATGTGGAAATAGGCCCTTCGGCCCAACAAGTCCACACTGACCCTCAGAGCATCCCACACAGACCTAATCTGTTTTGAATTTTTGTCTGCTCGTCACATGGGTCATCATATCCATTCATCAATCTGAGAGCATCAATGTTTTGATATCATTATATATGTATTTATACACACACTATGTAACTGTGTCTCTGTTGGAAATGTGGGATCCCTGATATGAGGTCAGTTACAATCCAATTGAATGGGAGTGTGGGCCCAAAGAGCTGAATGACCTTTTGCTATTCTTCTGCAACAGAGTTGAGGAGATGAATGAATCCTTCCTGTTCACGTGTAGCAGGCTTAAGGGACTGAATGGTCTCTGAATATACACAATTTATATTGTGTCTGGTTGGGAGTAATGTGTCTAGTTTGTTTTTACTCATTAAGAGGACATGGGCTAGGATACCATTTATTGCCCATCTCTGATCACCCAGAAGGCAGTTGGGAGTCAACCATTGCTGTAGGTCTGGAGTCACATTTGTCCAGACCAAGTATGGGCAGTATACTATCTTCACTCAATGGCAGCAGTGAACCAAGTGGGTTTCCCTGACATCTGACAGTGGTTTCATGCTCATCATTAGACCCTTAATTCCAGATTCTTTTATTGAATCCAAATTGTGAATTCAAACCATCTGCCATGACAGGATTGAGCCCAGGTCCAAGAATATTAATAGCCTAGCAATAAAACCACAAGACCACTACCTCAGTTGGAAGCACCATACTTGGTCAAGTGTATTTTGTTGGATCAGACTTGTTGTGTTATTTTTCTATTGCTGAGAAAAGACAAAGATCATCAAAGTTTTTTTTTAACCTGCACCAATCAGGACAATTCATAAGAATTCTGATTTGGTATTCTTGCAAATTATCCTGCTAAGTGGAAGAGGATAAACAATTTTTTTTACATTTTACAGTGATGCCCCATTTCTGTTTTATTAAACAACAAGTTGTGTTGCTTTCAATTTTTTTTAGAAACACATTTGTACGATATGTTAGATGTCTTATAATTGTTTGGTTTTGTTTATTTTGTTTTTGGTTATTTTATTTTGTTTGATTTTTATTTTTGAATGTGCTATTTTGGAGTGTTTGTATATTTTTAGGGTTTTCTTGGAAAAATAAAGAGAAAAACCTATTTGACTATTGCATATTCCATGACCTGAATCCTGGTGTTTTTGTGATTAAAAAGTTTTAAAATGTTTTTGATAAGACCATTTGAAAGGTGAGAAAGTGGGAAATATGAAAACTATAGTGTGCTCAGCAAGTTCTCATTAAACTGCAAAATGAAAGGTGACAACACATCATCCACAATAATCCTCAACAAGGGTGCCCCGTAAGGCTGTGTAATTAGCTCTTTACTATTGTGACAAGGGGGGGAGGTTTGACACCTCTTTCCAATAATTAAAACTGAAACACCCAGAGAAACTTGCCTCGTAATCTGTTAAAGGAAATGTAAAAATGTGGTGTAATCTGCTTGTCACCCCCAATCTGTTATAAAGGAGAGAAATTCCTGATACTCACTTTATAAGCAACGAGTGAAAATGTATTTATCTAACTCGAACAGTGAATAAATGACCAGAACTAGTAACAAACCGAATAATTCTCCCTTTAACTACGAACTATTCCCGAATAAAGCAAAATTATAATGGTATGCTGTTCTAATAAATACAAGTCCTACTTATATAAATCAAAGTAATAAGAAAAAATAAACTAAAACTTAGTCTCTCTAAATTACAGCCAGGATAAGTCCTCTGGAATGTTATTTGTCTCCTCCGTTGTTTTTAATTCAGGAATGCCTTCCTCCGTCACATTCTTGTGTCAGGAATATTAGGTAAGAGTGCTGTAGTACCTTTATTTAGATGGTGCTTACTCTTTCTGTGAGAGCCAATGAGTTTATCTTCAGATGGCAGTTTGCTCTCACAGCAATTTTCAAATGCCCTCTTCTTTTATACCCTTGATGACATATTAATTACTTCCAATAGGATTGGTCCTAAATTGTCAAAACCATCAGATTTAAATTTAATTGGATTTTGATATCTAGGACCTGGTTTAAATTAATTGGCTAAATTCAAAATCCTGTTGTCTTGGTAAAAATGCTGCTTAGCCTGCTAACAGTATAGTTTTTTGATGCAATGTTTCAACTTCAAGAACTCTCTGTGCCTCTGTTGCTGCCTGCAGACTTTTTTTTCAATCTCCAAGCATAAAAAAACGCATCATCTTTAAAGTACCACGCACACTTCACCCCTATTATTTTACAAACATCAAATACTCTACCCAACTTCGCAACACCTCCCCCTTAAGAAACAAATGAACCATCATTATGAAAAGATGGCTTTTTTTTTCTCTAAATCTTAACAGCATTATTATTAGATAACAGGTCATAAATCTAAAGTTACACATTTCATACTAATTCTATATATACACATATGGAACTGAGCACTACTGTTTCTATCTTACATACACATTTTCTTTTAAACCTGTGATAACACATCCACAATAACATTTTCATGACCTGCAACATGTACAATCCGTAAATTAAATGCTTGTAACATGAGACTCCAACGAAATAATCTGGTGTTCTTGTCTTTAAATCTTTCCACAAATGTCACAGGGTTGTAATCAGTGTACACAACGTCTCCGATATATTGTTTGCAACATAAACATTAAAATGTTGTCAGGCCAGCACCAAACTCAATAACTCTTTTTCAATGGTTGAATATTTTCTCTGGTGGATATAGTTTCTTTCAAAAATAACCGATTGGCCTTTCAATGCCACAATCATCATCCTGTAACAACACAGCTCCAATCCCTTCATCGTTTGCGTCGCTAGCGACTTTAAAGGGTTTCAAGAAATTGAGAATGGCTAAAACTGGTGCAGTGGTTAACACTGTTTTAAATTCTCAAATGCCTCCTGGAATTCTTCTGTCCGCCTGAATATTGTGTTCTTCTTTCACAAATCCATCAGCAGTGACACCACGCTACTAAAGTTTCATACAAATTTCCTGTAGAATCTGCTCAGTCACAAAAACTGTTGCACTTCCTTCTTTGAGGACAGTCTTGGAAACTCCTTGATGGCCATCATCTTCATGTTCCTTGATGTCATCCGTCCGTGTCTGATGATATGTCCTAAGAACGTCACTTCCACCTTCGCGAATTCTATCCTGGCTTAATTTGTGAC